CATCAAATTTGCATTTAAGGTCCGAATCATGTCAAATGATATCCGTTTTTCATCAAATTTCACAAAAATATCTTAAATCATATATATGACATGTACCGGGCGCCGGAACCAAAATACGGGCCCAATACCATCATGCTCTAATCAAATTCATTTCAAATTTCCTTAAATAATTTCAGAAAATAATTTCCTTTAAAAATTCATTTCTCGGGCTCGGGACCTCGGAATTCAATTCCGGGCATACGCCCAAGTCCCATATTTTTCTACGGACCCTCCGGGACCGTTAAATCACGAGTTCGGGTCTGTTTACCCAAAATGTTGACCGAAGTCAAATTAACTCATTTTATAGCCAAATTTTACCATTTTTCACAGATTTTCATATTTAAGCTTTATTACTTGGTGGCTAAGTCACCCTCTCCCTATAAATAGAGGGTTCTATTCTATTGTAATTCATCCCATATCAATAAGAATTCTCTCTCCCTACTTTTCTCTGCAATATTCTTCTTCTTCTTTTATTGTTTTATAACACGTTATCAGCACGAGGCTCTAACAAATTGAGTAGAAGTTTTGGGATTGAGCATAATAATTGTCAATTATTCCATGAACTTTCTTTATGATTAAATTCTGGATTTCAGGTAAGTATTTTACTTTATTTTTCTCTTTTAAATTCTTGAAATTATATAATTTGATTTTATATACAAGCAAAGACAACAAAGTTTGATTATAACTCTAATGGAGTTTGTAAGAAATTATAACCACCTGAAGTGGTAAAAATTTCTATGTCTTGCCATGATCAAATTCATGTATGATTATGGGCACAAAAAGTGGAAACTCGTCCCATTGAATTTGCTCCATTCTCATTCCTCTAAGAGAATGTGATAGCAGTATGTGATAAGTCTGAAAGAAGACAAAATTATCACTATGAATGTATCAATGGATGTAGACGTGGCAATAGACGAAATTATAATCGTCATCATTGTGATAATGAGAATAATAAGGATTCTCAAAATAATCCCCCACTTTGTGAAAATATTTGTCATCGATTTGACATGAGATTTTATAAAGCACATATAGATGATTATGGTCAATTCATGATGTGAATGTGACAACATCTGATTTATGAATACATATTCATTCTTCAAAGAGTATGAACGTGCTAGTGGTAGTGAATATACCGCACTCACCTCTAGAAGAAGGTTTGAGATGATATAAGAAAATAATGTCATTATTATGGCATAAATGGTCATTGGCCACGTACTTATTGTACGTCAAAATATTTTGGCATTGTGATTATTAAAAGACAACGGTAATGCAAGAAACAGATCTTGCATATAATTTTTTACCATAACCATAATGGTATAACTTTCTCTTTAAAAGAGATAGTCACCATATGGATGTCGATGAATATGTGGTAATACCAAATTAATTGAGAGCTCTGGAAGAGCCAATTATTACTATTTTGGAGGAATACAATTGATTATCAATAAAATATTGTGTTGTAATAAGTCTCAAAGAAACTTATTCAGTTTCCAAAGTATTCGCGAAAGCGGTTGGTCATACTGAGACTATAAATAAAGGAAAGAGTTAATATCTTCTATTACTACAACTTGTAGCGGGGTAATATGTATGTGAAAAATAACTTTGGTGAAATGTGCTTTGTCCTGTCTCCTTTTATGAATCCTCCCTTCAATTGAGCTATGCATGCTGCATTATCTTCATACAAAAATGTGGGTAACTTGTCACATTTCACACCACATTTGTCTCGAATAAGATGTATTATAGACCTCATCCACACACATTCTCGACTTGCTTCATGAATAGCAATTATCTCAGCATGATTAGATGAAGTAGCCACAATTGATTGCTTAGTCGATCGCTAAGATATGGCAATGCTTCCACAGGTAAATACATAACCTGTTTGAGACCGAGCCTTGTGTGGGTCAGATAAATACCCAGCATCAGCATAACCAACAAGATCGGGACTGCAATTGTTGTCATAAAATAAGCCCATATCGGTAGTCCCTTTTAGATACCGTAATATGTGTTTGATTCCATTTCAATGTCTCCTTGTGGGAGCAGAGCTATATCTTGCTAAGACATTAACTGAAAAAGTTATGTCAGGCATTGTAGTATTGGCAAGATACATTAGTACACCAATTGCATGAAGAAATCCACGGTTTAATAAATTCTGAGATTCATGAGGAATCCACTGAGCCCGAGGCTCAAGAAAATAAGGAACTATCAATAAATCCAATCGATATTGAGACAAATTTGAATCGAGTGGATATAATAGTGGATTATGTCTTTGCATATAATGTTGCATCTAGCATTATGCAAGAAAGTGAGGATCTTGAACCTCAATCTGTTGGAGAATGTCGACAAAGACTTGATTGGCCAAAATGGCAAGAAGCAATCCAATCAGAGTTGAATTCGCTTGCAAAACGTGAAGTTTTTGGGCCTGTAGTCCAAACACCTAATGGTGTTAAGCCTGTTGGCTATAAATGGGTCTTTGTACGCAAGAGAAATGAGAAAAACGAGGTACAAAGATATAAGGCACGCCTTGTTGCACAAGGATTTTCACAAAGGCCTGGTGTCGATTATGAAGAGACATATTCACCTGTTATGAATGCTATAACGTTCCGTTATCTCATTAGTTTTGCTGTCCATGAAAAGCTTGACATGCATTTAATGGATGTGGTTACCGCCTACCTTTATGGCTCACTTGATAATGAGATATACATGAAAATTCCCGAGGGATTTAAAATGCCAAACGCACGTAATTCAAAGTCCCGGGAAATATTTTCAATCAAATTACAAAGATCTTTGTATGGTCTAAAGCAATCAGGACGAATGTGGTATAATCGTCTTAGTGAGTATTTATTAAAGGAAGGCTATATAAATGATGTCATTTGCCCATGTGCTTACAACATCGGAATTTGTTGTACTTGCCGTATATGTTGATGACATAAACCTTATTGGAACTCTTATAGAACTCCAAAAGGCAATTGATTATTTAAAGAAGGAATTCGAGATGAAAGATCTCGGAATTATTTCACGACAAATATATATTACTCCATGTTAATCTTGAACTTTATCTACCGTACGAATTATTGAACTTCTAGCTAATATAGAACAATATACATAACTTAATTGTGAAGCGAGGATTAATATTGAAGTTTCAGGAGAAAAATTAAAGTGCAAAATGAGGAGATTTTACTACAATCTTACCATCATAATTCGCCTTGATTCAATAAATGCTTAAACTTTTTTCGAACTATATTAGTTAACCAGTAATTTTAAAAAGATTATTACGTGTGTTATGTGTATGGGATTACAAATATCTCTTTTGACATAAAAGAGGTAGGGAAAGTAGGTTAAAATAACCAGAATTTAGGTCAAGAGGCATATGGTCTGATCATTTTGTGTTTTTTATTTTTGGGAGTATATACTTTTTGTGATGGTTCAAAATAAGAATATACCTGGACGGTTATGCAAATTACAAAGAAAGGGAAATCACATGAGCAGTTAGCTAGCAGTGCAAGCATCGGACCTACTCTTTGTGTGGCAGAAATTAAAGCATTTTGCTCACTTCACCTCCTCAACTAAGCTATATTTTTTAATGGTGGTGTTGGGTCAGTTTACACGCTTGCATCTTCGTTATTTTATCGGTTTTTGCAATCTTTCTTCCTTAATTATGTCGAATAATTCTATCTATCAAAGTTTAGATTCATAGCCCGCAAGGGTTGGCTGAGTTGGTTGGGTGAGTGATTTTCCACATAGGAGCCTGGGATCGATTCTCCTCACCAGCAGCCTCCTCAGCCAGAGCTCGTCGCACTTACATCTCTTGTGTGGTTTGCGAGCTATTGCACAGTAAGCAGGTTACCCAGCGCGTATCCGAAGGGTAGCCGCCGCGGTTTGCACCTATTTTTATTGACCATTAGGCCAGCCTTGAGGGCGTCAGCAGTAAAAATAATTTAAATATTACAGTTCCAGTCGTGACTTTACAAGTTCAAATCTTACGATGTAACAATTTTTAACTAATAAATTGATCAACTTTCTCCATTAGATTTTTAATATATATTATATGAGTACGTATAGAGTTAATGGAAATAAATCGCCTTTGTTAGGGAGCGTTTTACCCCCCAATGTGTGATTTCCCAGCGCAAATTCTGATTTAATCGGGCCCCAATGTAAGTATCGGAACCGGATGGAAAACCAGAAGAAAGACGATATTTTAACACTCAAAGAATGTTGTTTATTGGTTAAACTGTCAGTATTATAAGCCGAATTGTTAATTCGTTAAATAATAAACATAATGTCAAACCAGTCAATTGTAGGGTGTTAATCGAGTTCTACCTTTCCATTTTTCATGTGTATATGGATTTCTAGTGATTTTAAGTGCACCATTGGACATGATAAAAATACTTTGGTACTTTTAAATTCATATCTTGAGTAATTGTAAATAATGAATTTTAGCTTTTTGAACTTCAAGTAAATACCACTCATAGTTTGCTTTCTAGGTATATTTTATGTGAAATATTAGTTTCTAGTCACGACTCTTCTCATGTTTCATATATTTTTTTTTAAAGTAAATAGTCTAAATGCTAACTTCTAAATATGCTTTATCAATTTTAATTTTCAAGGGATCGTTTGATTACTGGAATTAAAATAATAATTACAGCATAAATTTGAGACTATAAATAGCAATATAAATTTTATACTATTTAATATTATTTATCTCATATTAAATACGGTATTATAATCATTTCCAGAATAACTTTGCTCCAAACCAAACTAGCCGTAAGTTATTTTTAACGCCAAGTCAAATATTGTCCAACCCACAAGATTTTTTATTGAAGTGTTTTTCACATGAGTTGGACTCAAGTAGTACTATTTTCTATGAGTTTGGATTAAAGTTATGAAATTTACATGAGCGCAATTACTTAAATACCCTCGAATGCCTTATCTTGTTAAAGGATGACAACATAAACTCCAAAAATAAATAACGTGGCCAATTAATATGAGAATCAAACAGCCAATTAGCAGTTAACCGTAAATAATTTCCACTTTTTCCATTGAAACCTCTCTTCTCCATTCTCCCTCTGGGATCTATCGATCGCCTTGATCAACCTCAATTTGGTTAGTTTTCGTTACCCATTTGATTAGAAGTTTTAGTTATTTTCTTTAATTTCATGAAATTTTCAAATTGGTAGTGTATAGTTATTTCTTTGTTTTCTTGTTCTTAACATGCAAAAGGGTCCCATATGAAGCAAATATTTTGTGGGGTTTTGTTAAAATTTCAATTTGATGATTGTTGATCACCATTTTGAGGTTTTATTGTTTTTTATTTTTAATTTTTATTTATTTATGTAGGGTCTCCCACTGCAGTTAATTTATCTGAAATTTCTGTGAGTTATAATTAAAGGCCACAACTGGGAAAGGAGTCGATATTTGGATGACAAAAAGGTCAGGCTTCGATTTGCCATAGTTTTTCCTTTTTTCATCCGTGAATTGCATGTGAGTTATAATTAAAGTTGTTTGTTACATTGACCTTAATATTGCTAAAAGATTATGTTTTATATGTGTCTATTTGGATGTATGCCCGCATTACTTGGTTTTTCTGTGATGGGGTTTGGCAATAATCAAGGTCTTGTGATTTATTATTTGTTTATATGCATTCCTTCACTAAGCTGGTTTGGAGACTTTTGAATAATTCATGTAGTTTCTGGGTAGTGTTTTTTGACTAGCAATTGAAGCAGTTGATTAAATCTGTGTAATTTGTCTTTCCCACTCCTCTAGTAGCTAAACATAAGAAGGAAAGCCCCGTGTACTAAGCTCCCACTATTTGTGGGATCCGGGGAAGAGCCGGACCACATTGGGTCTTATGCATGCAGCTTTACTTTGCATTTCTACAACAGATGGTTTCCGCGCTTGAACTTGTGCCCTCCTGATCACACGACGACAACTTTTACCGTTACGCCAAGGCTTTCCTTCCTCTAGTGGCCGAACATGAGATAATTTAATCCTGAAGCCCTAATGTAGGGTTTGGCTGTTTTTTAAAACTAAATTCAAGATTTTATCCAGGTGTGTTCCTTATATACAAAAAAGTATCCAGCTTTATTTGGGTGTATGTTGATGTATTAGGTTTTATGAAATTGGGGTTCTTTTGATTTGGTTTAAATCTTTGCCTTGGTTACTCCTTGTCCTAAAGGTTCTTTGAGTTACTTAAAGTAGGTTCAGAAGCGAGAGTATGCTTGACTATGTGTTCTAGCTCTATCACTGTTGATAGGTGTTTCCTGAAGAAATGTACCATGTATAGCTGACAAACAACTCTTCCTATCTTGTTGAAGAGAAATATTCATTCTAATCTTGGTGAAGATTATGTCCTAGATTGCCTGCTGCTTTGCATCAGATAGGAGAGCAATTAATTATTTTCTGCTCTCGATTCTTTCTCTTTATATCTCCTTTATATTTTCTGTCTGGCTTTCTCTAAACATTGTTTTTTTGTAACTCCACAAGAAATGCAAAGCCAAACTTGCAAAGTTAGCTAGCTGGACTTTAGGACTGGTGGTCATAACTGAAAACCAGCCTGTGCATAGTGGTTGCAATTCAAGAGTGTTGACATGGCATCTCTCTTAGACCAGAATGGCTATTATATTTTTTGTCATTTTTCTCTCATTTTACCCAAAAAAACCTTTTTCTTTTGTTTCATGATTAATGCTAGAATGCGAAACGCTAGGATGTTTAGAATGTGAAAGGTCGGGACGTTTACCATAACTGACCATTATGTATAACAGTCATATGGGACAATTCGTATAAGACAACAACTTTTAATCGTGCCAATGGTTTATGAAGGACAACCCCTTGAAAGATATATATACACCAGGTAATGACTGGCAAGAAGACGAGATGTAAGTCAGGCGGGATGATTGGAAGGTGTCATAAAGCCAACTGCAGAGATGGCTGACGCTGGCATCCGAGTGAGGTGCCGGAAAAGCTAAAAGATCTGTGGTGGGAGAATTCATGAGTTTCAGTTGAAGAAATAAAAAGGATAATTCAAGGAAAGAACAGATGCAAGAGAATAGATAACGGTGCGGGCTTTGGTGCAGGAATCATAGTATCATACCATGACAGATGTTTGCTAGGGATGGTGGAGTAGTGGGTAGCTCTTCTTGGTTGGCATTGGCAGTTTCGACATTGGTATTTTAGTGGGAGGAAAGTAGGGTTGGTGGAGTGGAGGTGGGTAAGTTCTATAGTTCAAAGTAGTTTTCTTAAAGCTGGTAAGTGTACAGGCATAGAGAAATGGAAGATCTTGATATTTTTGTTCATCAGGTACCTTCTCATTTTCTCCAACATATTGATAGTTGATACTAAATCCCGGTCTACATCAATGTATCTACTACATTGCAAATAAGAAAGATTTTAGTTGTTAAGTTTTTCATTGGTTGATATCACTGTAATGAACAATCCCGTTTTTATTCAATGGTAAAAAGTTACTTTGGATGGTTAAAACATAAAATGAAAAATATCACTAACAAATAAAGTTGATTACATTAGATGTTTATTAATATATCAAAATTCATGTTAAAGGAGAAAATGTTTCTTTGTAACAATAAATTATATTCTTTGTTTGGGGTTTAGTGCAAAGATCTATATTGTGATGTCTGGATTTTTGGATAGTTC